GTGCTACATCCCCTGCTTGCATGACCTTGACAGCGGTCCCTTCCATCTTACCTCACAAGTCAGACCTCTTCCCAGGACTCTTGGAGGCAATCTGCTGGCGGCCTCCTCATAGTGGTCCCCACAAGGTTAGCCTTTGGCTCCTGCAGGGTCCTCTGATTTCCTCCCCAGGAGGGAGTGAGAATTAGCTGGGCAAAAAGTCAGGATCACACAGCCCGCCCTTTAACTCCCTCCTGGGCCATGAGCTTGTTCCAGCCTAAGTTGGACCAACCATATGTAAAGTCACTTTCTTTTTTCACTTTCAGTTTGACTTATAGGTGACTGCCTCCTTAGGTGAGATGCTAACATGCCAGTCGGGTAAGAGCCTATCCAGCTGTGTAATTCAGACAGAGGTGTTGTGAGAAATGAGCAGCAGGCAGCCCTCTGCGGTGGGGTTATCTGCAATGGCTGCTCATGTCCATGATGTAAATAGCCCTGCTGCGGCCAGTGTCGAGTCACCAACATGATTCAATCAAACAGACTGGGGAAGAGATGAGTGCTCAGGTTTGGTCAACACAACACTGATTCTAGAGACGCAGGTGTCAGGATGTCTGGGTGAAACGACAGGTACCTGACAGGCATTTAGAAATAATTCAATAAAGAGTCATTTTTTAAGATTTAGTGTATTTATTTCTTTAAAAGAGTAACAGGAGAGATAGAGCATGAAAGAGATCTTCCATTTGCTGGTTCACTTCCCCTGTGACTTCAACAGACAAGGCTGCACCAGGCTGCAGCCAGGAACATGGAACTCCATCCAGGTTTCCCACATGAGTGGCAAAGACCTGGGCAGTTGGGTCATCAACTGATGCCTTGGCACGAGCATTAGCAGGAAGCGGGATTGGAAGTGGAGCAGCTAGGACTCAAGCCGGCATCCATGTGGGTGGTCAGTGTTACAGGTGACAGCTTAACCAGTTGTGCTGCAACTCTAGCCCGAGTGGGTTTTTTTAAACAGGTGATCAAGTGAAGGGACAAAATATCTACCCTGGCAGACTCTGCATGACGCATATTTAGGTGTTTATTATTCCATGGTTCACCATTACTAGATATCTTTACATTTTTTGCATTGAAGGATTGAAACTACTCTCACCTTATATATAGGAGGGAGGCCATGAATTCTAATGTGCTCACTGATTCCTGGACCCTTAACCCCACAGCATCCTGGTAGTCTGAGATCCAGGGTAGGAACCTCGGTCATGGACATCACAAGCTCAATCCATCTGTCAGTGATCAGCAGGTCTTAGCCAAAGCTTCTCCATCGACCCTGTGCTGGGCAGAGGGTGGAGAAACGTCCCACGAGACCAACAGCAACCTGGTCCTGCCTTCAAGTCCTGCCCGCCCCAACTGCCAGCAGTGTGACCTCAGGCAGCAACTCTGAGCCTCGACTTCCTACAGGCAAAACGAGGGTACCAACGACAAGGAGTGAGGTTTGGAGGCAATAGGTAGGGACTGTTCCTGATGCGGTCTGGGACGCACAGGGGGACTCTCAGGAAATACTGAGCTGAGGGTTCTGTTGGGCTGCAGAGACGGCGAGCGTGTGGTCACTGTCTAAAAGTAAAGTTTTTAGCCAAGACCACAGGTCCCCCAGGACCAAATCTCCCTGTTTCTCACAAGCAGCTGCCTTAGACCACCCAGACCAGTACTGGCCATGGTGACATTACCCTGGAGCGCCTTGAAAAATGCATGCATCAGAATCAGAATGTTCTAGATTGCAAGCCCGGGCCTTTGGTTTCTCTATCCAGGAGCTCTGGAAGGCTGGTCTAGAAATTCCAGGCACGGACTGTGCAGATGCTCCATCCCTACGTGCTTCCAGGCTGGGCCTGGAGACACAGCCAACCGCACTGCCCTGGACCGATTCCCTGAGAGCTGGCGATAATTTAGACACGCTGTATGTGATTCTTTCTGATTAAAAACTTGGCCAGGTGCCCCTCCCTCGGTGAATTTTTATAGGAAGAGGAACACACTCCAAAACTGGGCTGCTCAGAAACTCAAGGGACTGGCCTGTACGTGAAGGATGAGTTCAGATTCCACTGTGGGGAGGGAGGCCCTCCAGGCACCAGAATGGACCCACCTCAGGCCTTGAGGTCTCAGGGGGGAGTGTCCCTTCCTGGGCACCTGTCCATTGACCAGCAAAGGGGTGGTTTAGCACCCTGCCCACCTACATCCATGCCCTGCCTGGACCTGGGTGATGTTAAGATAGCCATCTAGCCCTTGTGTGCCTCACTTGCTCCACCTGTGAAATGGGACTAGTTACAGTGGCTCTCTTATCACAGTGCCTGGGTTACCTAGCCTAGCAGTTGTTTTTTTTTCCCAGGGCTGTGGCCAGGATGCAGTGAAGTCACCCATGCAAAGCTCTGGGAGGAGGCATGGAACACGCCTTCCGACTGATGCAGAAGAGCTATGGCTGAGCGAACTTTCTGTAAGTGACTGTGGTCTGTGCCTGCACCTCTGAACTGCTCCCGAAAGTCAGCACTTTCCCGTTAAGACTTTCCACTGACTCAGACCAAAGGGTTCCTCCTTGCCCTTATCTCACATCAGGGCGAGTTCCTCCGGCCAGCGGCTCCATCTCCTCCCTGGGCAGCTCAGCTGGGCCCCCCTTTCCCACGACTCGGTCACATCCACGACTTTGTGAGCCTCTCCAGCCCCCAGGAGGGGGGGTGAGGCCACACTGTCCTCACGGGAGGGACCCAGATCCTGAAGCTCCTGTGGCTTCCCAAAGCCAAGAACATGTGCTGGAGGCAGACTCCAAACACCTGCACCCCAGGTGCACCACTTTCCTGGGGCAGCCACTTACTGCTTTCAACACCTTATCCGTCAGACAGGGAAACCACACTACCCACTTCCCAGGTTTGTGGCCAGTCTCAAACGAGTGAAAGTGGGGCAAACTTGCAGTGAGTAAGTGGGGTCTGTACAGTGTGAAACACCCCTGGTTCCCTGCTGCAGCCCAGCTTCTGCCTGCCTCCCCCAGCACCTAGCACCCTGAAAGATGTCCTGATGTGGAAGGAAACTCTATGGCCACCCTGAAGTTCCTGGAGCTCTGGGCCATCATTGCTGTCTGCCGTACCCGTGAATGGATTGGCTCAGAACAGTCCAGTGAGAGCGGTCCCCGCTTCCTGGCTCTTCTCTAGTTAACCCCTCTGCACAGGGAGGAGAGATCATAGGACCAAGCAGAGTGCCCACTGGGAACCAGGATGGGACAGCCCATGCTGGAGCTGGATACCCCGAGTGTAATCCATCCTTCCCACTGGATTACACTCAGGGTACCCCTGATTCCTTCAAAGGGAACCCGGAATCACTATAAGACCTGTGTGGGTTCTTCCCAGATCCAGGCCCCAAGGACAGACTGTACCAGCCCTGTTCCCAGCCCCAAGCCTAAAGGAAGATCATATGGCAGACCTTCTAGGATGGAGGGGGAGGTCGGCTTGCATGTGCAGGCTGAGATGAACCTGTGTGTGCGTGAGACCCTCAATGCCCTGAGCACAGAGACCCACGCGGGGCGCAGCTGGGGCCAGTCACTAGGCATGCCCTCTGCTTTGCACCCCCATGTTCTCTGGCAGGGCCACAGGACTCTGAGCTCGCTGAACACCAAGTTGACCATCCAGGTGGGCACAAAGTGTGTGTGTCAGAGGAGATAACCTGGTTGGCTTGGTTTGCAACCTGCAAATAGAGACACACGACATGTGAGCCTCCACCTGGACTCAGGCTGGGCCCCCCAGAGCCCTACCATCTTCTTTCTGCACACTCTCAGCAAGCCTCTTGTGTGCTGGGCCCAGGGGGGCTCCATGGCCCTGTGTGTCCGCTATCCCCCTCTGGCCCTTAGCTTCCCCACTGAGACAAGAATCTCTCCAGCTCTGAGCAGCTGTGGGGTGCAGCGCCAGGCAGGGTAAAGAGAGATCAGCGACCTGGGGAGGGTGTGGCCTGGGTGCTAGAGGAATTACGGTGTGGACACGAGCTCTGGGGACCAGCCACCCATAAACCATGTCAACCTATCTCGCGCTCCGCAAACACAGCAGCCACCCACACTGTGTCAAGCCCTGAGCTATGGCCGAGGATCAGAGGACTAATGAGGCTGCATCTGCCCAGGTGGGAGGAGAAAGAAAGCAAGCCCGCAGAAGACCTCAACGCAAAATGACACTTGGTGATTTGTGCGGCAAGGAGACTTTCTCTCGACGGCTTCCTTCCTCGCAGCCCTACGGGCACGAACGTTGGCCACTCGCGTGCGAAAATCCTCGAGGCTCCCAAAGAGAGAGAGAAAGGGGCTTGGTCAAGACCTCGCAGCTTAAGGCGTGCCCAGAACTTGTGGCTAGCCAGAAGCGAGGTTTTGGATACCGCAGTCTCGGGCCACTGTCCCGAGCTGCCCGAAGCCGGGAGGCCCCGTCCAGCTCCCAGAAGGCTGGAGGGAGGTAAGCGCCAGGGAGGCAGGGAGGGGCCCTGGCGGCCCAGTGGCATCGAGCGCCCTGGAGACCAGCTCGGGGCGCCCGGAGCGCAAATGCTGGGGTGCGCGCGAGCGGTAGCCGCGCTCCAGCCGGTGGCCATGGGCGGGTTGGGGTGTGGGCTCCGAGGCGCCGGCGTGGGGCGGGGGGCGCGGCAAGGGCCGCCCTGCAGTGCCCGCAGTGGCGGGCTGGGGGAGCTGTGCCCGCCTGTCCCCACGGCCCCGGGCGGGGACCAGGCAGCTGGGGCGCCGCGCCTCCAACCCGGCGGGACTAGGCGGCGCGCAGCCGGGCGTGCCTGGAGCGGGTTCGGGCTCCAAGTCTTCTCGGGCGCCGGGCCGGGGAGGCCCCCGGAGAAGCCCAGTCCCGAGGGCTAGGGTGGCTGCCGCGGCGGCCGCTCCGGCCCGCCCCCGGGGGGTGTCCCGGGCCGCTGGGCCCGCCCAGGTAACCCCATCCTCGGCCCGCCCCCGGCCCGCCCCCCCGGCCGCCCGCCCGCCTCCGCCGCTGCTGCCGCCGCCGCCGCCGCCGCCGCATCCCGGCTCTGGGGCGGCGCTGACAGTCTGGTCCGCGCCGGGCAGCGGGCGCACCGCGGGCAGGGCGGCCGGCAGGCACGGAGGCAGAGCTCCGCGCGCGCCCCGGCCTGCACCCCGCTCCGCGCCGCAGCCCGTCCGCGGGCGCCCACCTGCCGCCCCGACGGGAGGCCCCCCGCGGCCACAGCCGCTGCCCCGGGCCGGGCGCCCGCGGCGGCACCATGAGTCCCCGCTCGTGCTTGCGTTCGCTGCGCCTCCTCGTCTTCGCCGTCTTCTCGGCCGCCGCGAGCAACTGGCTGTAAGTCGGGCCGGGACCTAGCAGGGCCGGGCCGGGACCGGGCGGGGCGGGGTGGGGCAGGCCCCGGGGACAGCGGCCGGTGCCAGGCAGCGCGGGGCAGCGGGCGCGGGGGTGCCCGGCAGGTGTCTCGGCCGCCGGACGGGAGGCTCGCGGGCTCTGCTGCCGCCGCCGCCACTGCCCGGGCCTCCCTCGGGAGAGCCGCGTCTCCCTGCCCGGGTCCTGCTCCCTGACCAGTGGTGGCAGGGGTGGTGGCAGCGACCTCGCCCATATAGGCGGCCCCAGGGTGCCCGAGGACGTAGGGGGTAGCTAGCTCCGGGCTGCGGCCAGGGAAGGAGTGTCGGGTGCCGGGCGCAACCCGGCGAGGTTGACAGGTCGCCAGGGAAGCCCATTACGGGGAAGAGCTCCGGGACATAATAGCAGGTTAATCCCGAGAAGTCCGGAGCGAGCTGCTCGCAACGAGCTGCTCCTATTTGCAGGCTGGGCTAGAGGCGTGCAGGGACCTGTTCCTGCTTGGGGGGCGGGAGCCGGTGATAGCAGGAGGGAAGGGACTTGGACGCCTGCGTCTCCGGGCTTTGGCTTTCCCTGGGGGCGGGAAGAAGCTGCTCCAAACCCTAGAAGCAGACTACAGCCCCCCACCTCCCTGTGTCAGCCTGAGAAGCAAGCAGTGGTGACTGCTGCTGAGCGGTCCTGCCTGCCTGCTGCTGCTCTGGTGCTCAGCGCTTCTTGGAAAGCAGGAGAGGGTCGCCCAAAGTAGGGGGGTCTGGCTAAGAGGGGGCAAGAGGCTCCTGGACTGCTTCCCCACCCCCACCCCCAGTGACGGCTCCCCACGCCCCAGGGGTAACTCTGGCCCCAGCTCCTCCTGCCTAGAGCTCTGCCCCCATCCTCTGTGGGCAGCCAGTGGGGAGCCGGGCTCCAATATTGATCTGAAAAGCATGAGGTGGGAAGGGGGATAGCCAGCAGTGTAGCTGGGTTTCCATGGAGACAGCAGGAGAGGAAAAAATTCTCAGCATCAAGACCGAAGAACAAATATCTCCCATGAAATTGCCCCGAGTGTCCAATGGCTTGTTGCTATGAGGTCATTGTGGCCAGCCAGGGCCCTGCAGGCTGGAAGGAGTGTGTTCGTTGGGGTCAGAGCCACCCAGGGCTTCGGGACGGAGGTGATGTGGAATTCTCCCAGCTGTTCTGAGAGTGAGCGACTCCAGGGCAGCCTGGAGTGGCTGCGGAGCTTTTGTTTTTCTTGGAGCCTTAATTTGATTAACACTTCGGGAGCAGTGGCAGAGTGTACAGAAAGCAGGGCACCGCCACCCCAGTCACTGAGCTGATCTTGGGGAACCTGGGGTCCCTGGAGCTGACTCTCCAAGCTGTGGGCTGGCGGCCGTAGCCTTCAAGCAGGCCTGTGCAGCAGAAGGAGTGAGCAGTGGCTGTGACCTGACTGGCTCGGATGGCTGCAAAGGAGCAGGGGCGAGGAAGGCAGCTCCAGCGCCCCAGCCGGGCCACACGGGTGGGGCCTTTCAGAGGCTAGCCTCAGCACACTTTACAGATAGGGAGACTGAGGCCAGGGAGGAAACGCTCCTTGCCAAAACTCTGACCCAAGCACTGCACCCCGGTGTCCTATGTCTGGGCCCCACATGGCATCAGCAGCCACCTTCAGCCACGTGCACTTGCAGAATTCCAGCCAGGACAGCAGCTCTGACTGTGATTCACGCAAACCCCTGGGAAATTCCAAGAGCTCCATTCTCCAGCTGGAGCCATGGCAGGGTGGGTGAGGAGGGGTGGCCTGGAGGCAGACGGGAGGTTGGCAAACCTGTTCCCTGCACGGAGGTGGTGCGGGTTGCCACGAAGCAGTCTCCCGATGACCCGGTTCACTCCTGTTCTGCCTGGGCTCTGAGCCAAAGGTCTCTGCTTAGCCCAGGAGGAACAGGAGGGTCCCGGGACCTCACCATATCAGGAAGGCTTTGAAGGAGGAACTGGGGAGAGGGTAGGGTCATTTGCTTTTCCTTCCTACCCTCCAGCCCCGGAGCAGGGCACATTTAGATCCCTCTGTAGGATGGGATCCCAGGGGCAAGTGACCCAAGTGCCCCAGCAAGGAAATGGTGGAGGTGTCTGACCCAACAGCCAGCTCCAGAAGGAGGTGGCCCAGGCAGGGCAGGGGGATGTGACTCTGAACTTGGTGGCCAGCCTTTTCAGGTGGGAGCCATGCTGGAGGCCCTGTTCTCTGAGGCCAGGTGGCAGCCTTGCCCCTAGGGCATGGGCTCCCTCCTGGTACCCAGAGGAAGACCTGCATGCAAGGTCAGGCTGCTGGCTGGGTGCAAGAGCTGGCGCTGTCTGTTGTCTAAGGAGGGTGGGCAGCCTGGCGGGCCGGCCAGGTGTCCCGCTGCGTGCAGCTGTCGGGCAGCACAGAGCTTGGAGCTGGGAGGGCTCAGCAGCCTGAGGCCTGGGCAAGCCCAGAGAAGCTGGGAGCTGTTGATTAGAGTCAAGTCTGGCACCCTGCGCTGGTTGACAGCTTGTGGCAGCTCCCACCATCCAGGGAGGTGTGGAGTGGAGTGGAAGAGCTGATGGGAACAACCGCCTCCTACCCCTCCTCTCCCCCCACACAAGGCCCGGGCTCTGCCTTCAGGAGGGCTGCATTGCCACTGACTCGAGCTCGGCACCAGGGCAAGAGTTGTAGCTCTGCACCCGGTGCTGGGTGGTCCTGGGATGGCCTCTGCCTCCCGCTGGGCCATAGTTCTCAGCGGATTGTCCTGAATTCAAGTGAGGGAATAGGTGATGGAGTTTCCAGTATTGTGCAGAACCCAGAGAAAGGCAGGCTATGCTGAGCTGGAGCACAAGCGGGAGACGGAGGGGAGGGAAGGCAACCCAGCAGAGGGTGGAGACCGGGGACCCCAAGTGCAGTCCCAGCTCTGCTGTGGCCCAGCAGAGTGACCTCAGGCAAGTTACTTAACCTCTCTGAGCCTCAAGCCCCTCTTTTGGAAAACCCTAGGCACAGGTGCACATGGTGCATGGTGCTGGGTGGCGGGGTGTGGTCTGCAGGCCCTGGTTGGACGGTAGCCCTGGCAGCTGTGAGGCACAGGGAGTGCGGTCACCAAGCCGATTCTCTGTCTGCAGAGGTGAGCTTGGAGGCTGCTGCTCCCCAGCCCTGCGTCTCCTAGAAAGTCATGTCTGAATCCTGTGCCCCCGCCTCACTGCCCTTCAGCCAGGGTACCGCCACCCCCACCTTAGAGCCTCACGGAGCTGGGGAACCCAGTCTGGCTTACAGGCCAATCCTGCAGACCAAAGATGCGGTCACTGGGACCACCCTTCAGTGCCATGGGGCAGAGGAAGGGAGGAAAGAGGGGGAAGGGGAGAGGGGCGGAGTCATCGCACACCTCGCTGCTGGCTCTGATTCCACACAGGTGTGTGTCTTTGGGCCAAGCTCCCATGTGCCTGCTTGATTGCTGGGAGGGGGTGACTCCCTGGGCTGTGGTAGAGTGAGGCCCAGCATCGAGACACAGCTCCCTGGGCCAGATGTTGAGGCAGAGCCAGCCACCCCCTGCCCAGGCAATGATGTGACCCATCTCCCCCAGAAGTGGTCTCCTACCCCCATTTCCCCCGTTTAAGAGAATCCCTCCCTCCTCCTCCAAACAGTCAAAACTTGTTTCCTCCTCCCCGGCTCTGGGGTGTGAGTTCTCATCCCTGCCTCGCTCGCAGCATTTGACAGTTTGCATCAGGATCTCAGCAGAATAGTCTGGAGCCAGATGAGGCTGTGTGATGGGATGGGTCTGCCCAAGGCGGCAGCCCTCTCACCAGTAGATGCCAGAGCCCCCTTGTCTCCAGGTGCCCATGCACAGACAGCCGCGTGTGCCCTTCGTGATGACTCAGCACACAGCCTCGCTCCCCAGTTACTTTCTGCCTGACTTCCTAACCTCAAGGTCATTCTGTAGCAGAAGCAGGACTTGAACTTGACTAGTTCTCACGCACAACCTTCCCGCACAGCCTGCAATGCCGTTTCCTATCACGTCACCCCGCAGTGGCTCCTGCGGGGGAAAGAATGTGCAGAGGCTGAGGCAAGGGCATAAGCACCTCGAAGAGCCACACAGGACCTGGCACCTGCCTGCAGGGAGTAGGTGCTTGGTCAGTACTTGAAAGTTGGCATCCATTGGTAGCCTCAGCTACCAAAACCTCATGTTGGAGGCGGGCTCCATGTCCCTGCCCTGAGGGCCCCCTGAGACCCAGTGGGTGTCAGTCCCTGCACTCCGTCTCTACCACCTCCTCTGGGGCAGCCCCTTCAAGCCAGGTTGCATTGTAGCTCACCTAGCTCACCCTTCCATCGCGGGGTGGTGGGGTGGCGGGGAGCAGGAGCCGGCTGCGCCCGAGGGGTTTGCTCAGGCAGCAGTCACGACCCAGCTGTCTGCTATGGTTTGACTTTCTGCCTTCAGCCTGGATTAGCAATTGAGCAACTCAGCAAGCATCTGACAAGACAGCGCTCCCCAAACCTGTTGAAACTCGCCCAACTTGGGCCCTGGGGGTGCCTTTGCAAAGCTGGGCCAGTGCACCAGCTTCCTCCTCTGCTTTCTCCCTCTGGGAGGTTAGGGCTTGAGCTGAGCTGACTGCAGGGTACACGCTGGCCAGCACACCGCTGCCCGGGTCGGGGGTGGGGGGGAGTGCCACAGCGCCTGACATGGGCGCCTCTGGTCACCCCTCCACTCCGACAAAGCTCGGTAACCCCAGCTATGAAGGCGGAGCTGCGACCCCGAGCCAGCTTTCCAGCCTTCCTCGGGAGTTGCCAGCTTTTATCTCTGAGTTCCAAGCTGCATCTTCTGTGATTCAGCCAGAATGAGGGAGAAGGCTCGCTCCCTGTCGTGACCCCACCGGCTCCCCCTTTCCCCATCCCAAACCTTCTCCACCTCCCCCATATCCTGGCAAACTGAAAACCAAACTATGCTTTACAAGTTCCCAGCCAAGTCAGAACCCCACAGCAGAGGGGACCTAGGCGGCGGCAGAGATGGGGGAGGCAGGGGCAC